AAGGGCGGCGACGCCTGCTACCGGTAACAGCCGTCGCTAATGCGTGTCGGCACTGTGCGAAGAGCCGCCGGGCACCGTCTCACTGAACTTCCTAAGGGCCCTTTCAGTGGAGAGGCACTTCACACAGGGGGCCCGTACACTCAGAGTGGTGGCCCTGTGAGCCCAGAGAGTAGGAGGGGGAGCTAGGGTTCTGTCTGAGACCATCTGACCCGGGAGGCCATTTCCTGAGCACACTGCCACACTGCCACCCAGCAGGGATAGAAATACCCAGGCCGGAGGGGACAAGCAGGGAGGACAGTGGGGTGGGAGATGATCACCCAGAAGTAGAATAGCCAAGCATGACGAGGCAAGGTGGGCTTAGGAGTATGTGTGAGAGAGGAGTGACTACACCAAGTACAGCAGCCCGTGCCCATGGAGAGGCGGGCTCCCCTTTCCATGTCCTTCCCTTCCTGCCGCTGAGCCGTGTGAACTGGCAGACCCCACTTCCCTTTGCTGCGAGCTGTGAAGGGGAAGAGACAAGCAGCCGTGTCCCTAGTGCTCTAATCTCAGAGCCGTCCCTAGAGGAGGATCTCTGAGCGTGGGCTGGTCCCCCCACACCCAGCCAGCGGCACGGGGTCTGGGAAGCCACTGTATTTCCACCCAGATGTACTCTCCGTGTGCCCCCAGGGAGCACAGTCCTTCACTGAGTTCCTCAGCCAGCTTTCCCTGCAAGCCATCTGACAGTCCCCATGCTGGGCACCAGGGGCCACGGGGCAGCTGTGACACAGGCCCTACGCTCCAGGGGTCGAGTTCAGAGAGCAAGTTCCAAGGCGGATTGGAGTGGAGCATCACTCCCAGCAGGGAAAGCCTTGAGTCCACCCTGGCCAGGAAACACACAACCTGAGCCTCCCCTGGGAGTCACACGGGGAAGTCTAAATGTTTTGGTGACAGCATTGAAAGTGTAAAAAGAAATGGTAGGGTTAATTTTAATATTTTTAACCCAGTATATCCACAATATTATCACTCCAACATGTAATCGATATAAAAAGTTACTAACAAGGGGCTAGCAGGTGGCATGGTGGTTAGGGCACTGGACTCCTGCTTGGCCAACCACAGTTCAAGTCCCAGACCTGGTGACTTGCTTTCTTACTTTGTGTCCCTTCCACTCCTCCCCTCCACCTCACCCACCCCCGTTAGCTCTGGTCAAATTTAAAATAACAATAAAATTAATCTTTCTAAAATTTATTAATGAAGTATTTTATGTCCTTTCTTGTACTCAGCCTCTGAAATGCAGCGAGTATTTGACACGACAGCACCTCTTTATCAGTACTCACCCCATGTGGCTATTGGCTCTGGTACCAGCCAGGGTGGGTCTGGGCTTTACTGAATCGGGATGTACCTTCTTGGGCAAAGTGCCCTACACAGCGACCTCCCAGGGTTGCTGGGGCCTTAGTCTTGGTGTCCTGCAGCTTTCACTCTTACTCTGCCTGAATCCGCCACACCTGTTCAGGGTGTCTACATGGGCAGGTCATTGAGAGGCCAGAGCTTGACTTTCAAGATGAAGAGGTTGAGGATTGACCCAAGATGTCTGTACTCTGTTGATTTCAATTCAAAACCTGGTTACCACAGCCAAGCATGTTATACAGATTCGTTCACTAGACGTTTGGGGGGCACATTTATCCCCCAAGTCCCATACAACTTTCTTTTTTGGGGGGGGAGGGAAGGTTTTTGCTATAGGGCACGTGCGTTCACCAGACAAACAGACAGAGACAGACAGAAAGCGAGAAATCACCCCCCAGGGGGACGGCCACGCCACAATCCCTTCTCTTCCATTCTTGTCTCAGGATCTTGGGCATGCACGCACGTGCGCCCAGCATGAGTTTTAAGCCATCAGGTCCAGGACTCGAACTGTGGTCAACTACATGGGAGTCCAACGACATAGCCATTATGCCAACTGCTGGTCCCCCATACAACTTTTTTCAAGCGTGGGGATAAATCCCTCAGGAAATGGACGTTTAAATGATAGTGTGGGGGAACAGCCAGTGGTGTGGTGGTTAAGGCTTCTGGATCCCATGTGCTGATAATGAGGTTTGAGTCCTGGACCTGGTAGCATGAGGAAAACATTAAGTGTGTGCATATGTGTGGAGAAATGGAGAAGGGGTTGCAGTGTGGCCGCCCCCCCAGGGGTGCTTTCTCACTCTCCCCCACCCCTAGCCTCTCTGCAGCAAGCCCATGTACCTCCAGCAAAAAAATGTTTTAGAAAATTAAAAAGATTGGGGCCGGCAGGTGGCATGGTGGTTAAGGCTGTGGAATCCCACATGGCCAACCGCCGTTTGCATCCTGGACCTGATACCTTGCTTTCTCACTTTTCCTCCCTCTCTTTCTGTCTGTCTCTGGTAAACGCATGTGCTCTATAGCGAATTAAAATAATAATAATAAGTAAAATGAAATCTTTTGTTAAAGTTAAAAGGGTAGCATGGGAGTGGGGAGTGAGTCTTCATAGTGAGTTCCACAGAGCAGGAAGCCCAGGCAGAGACTGCTGGAGGACACCTGACCGGGGTCGGGTCTGGGAGGACAAGTACACAGGCCTGTGGGGATAGCACGGGTAGGAACAGAGGCCTGAGAACCCATTGGCACTGGAGGGTCTGCTCAGGGTGGGCATGAGTAAACGTCGGGAAGGGTCTAAATGGGGCCCTACAGGGTCCAGGTCTCAGAGGATTTGGGCCCAGCCTGGGGTCCCAGGCAGGAGAGGTCTGAGGTCTTAAAAGTGCCACATTGCTTTTGCGGGTCCCCTGATCCCCTGTGGAGGGTGGCTGAGGAGCAGGGGCTTGGCCAGGACAAGATTGCCATAGTTCAGCCCAGAGGTGGGGCCACAGTTGAAGAGCGAGCAGAGGGCATGGCCTGGGGAAATGGACAGGTGAGGGCGTGGGAAGTGTGAGGACAACGCGGGCTCTGGCTGGGGTGGCAGGACGCCGGCCGGCCCTGTGTGAAAGTGCACGGAGCCAGCGCTATGTGGACTGATGCTTTGAGTTTCCACTTCAATGCAGCCGCTACGACTCCGTCCCACCCGACCGCCGCCTCCCAAGATACAGCGCTGGAGGCCCGTGAGTAGCCGGGGGTTCCGCCCTCCCCGCCTAACACTGCCTGAGCCACCTCATCTCCCCAGCCTGACTAAAACTCGGGAGTTTGGATCCTCCTGCCTGGCAAAGAAAACTGGGAATGGGGTTTTTCGGCTTCCCTCTCCGTGTGGCATGGGCCTGACCTTGCGTCTTCTGGGCTTCTCCCTCCCTTTTCTGAACAAATCTGGTGACGGCAGGTCAGGGCCACAGGCACCCGAGGCCACAGCGAGGTGTGTGTGTGTGGTGTGTGCACCGTTAGGGCAGATCTCACGGGGTGAGCTTTAAACCTTGACCAGACATGTCTTCCTCACAAAAGAAGCGGAAGTCTGGCTGTGGAGTTCTTGCTCCCACCAGATCTGGGATTGGAAATGTATCCGATGTCCCTTCCTGGGGACAGAGGCTATGCCCAAAGAATATGGAGCCAGCTCAGGTGGAGACAGGTGCTGCTCCCCTGCCAGGCCTCACTTGGAGACCCACCTTCCCATGGCCAGCGCCCTGTAAGGGTGGAAAAGCAGGACAAAACAGGACCTGCCCACCAACACCCGGGACGGGAGGTGGAGTGTGAGAGAGACCCAGCCATGTTTTGTTTTGTTTTGTTGAGAAATGTTTGCTATAGGGCACGTGTACTCTCCAGAAAGACAGAGACAGAGAGAAAGTGAGAAATCACCCCCCAGGGGGCATGGCCACAATCCCTTCTCCTCCATTCTCCTCTCGGGATCTTGGGCACGCATGTACACGCGCCCAGCGTGAGTTTAAGCCACTGGGTCTGGGACTCAAACCATGGTTGACTACATGGGAGTCCAGTGACAGCCATTACGCTAACTGCTGGTCCTGAGACCCAGCCATGTTTTTAAAGAGAAACACAATAAGAAAATATTGGGCATGGGTTCCCTTAAACATCGATGAAATCATTCCACTTGTAAGCTCAGACGTCAGTGTGCAGAGGTAACTTCAGCAGGTGCCTTCACAGTGGGCAGCCTGCCAGGGCCAGCTGGAGTGGGCTGTCCACCAAGAGCAAAGTCCCTCTATTCCTCAAGGCAGCCACCATTCCACAGGGTCAGCTGCAAGCAGAGTCCCCCACACTGGTGTCCCGACCCTTCCCACCCTCTCCAATGTACACGCCCAAATCCATCATGTGAAGACGTGGGGCTTGGGGCCTGCAGGTGACCAGGGTGTCCTCAGTGTGAACACACACCGAGCAGCGACCACGCTCTAGGGGGATGTGGGACTTTCTGTGTCACTGTTTTCTTTCCCTTCCCTGCGATGTGTGGGAGGCAGAGGTCTGGGGTGGAGGTTGGAGGGATTTACATGGCTTCAGCTGCAGGCATGGGCCTGCAGTTCCAGCAACACGTGACACTGGGTCCATCCAATACCTTCATCAAAATGTGATTAGCCAGATCCCAGTCGGCGCAGCTGTGAAGGGGCAGGAATGTTTCTGCTCACTGTCGCTGGGAGAAATGCACAACGGCAAGAAGCTGCTTTGGGGACAGGGAGGGCCAGTGCCGAACCTCGTGTGATTTGGTGAGCAGCTCGGGACAGTCTTAGCAGGTCGGATATGAGAGCGCAAGTGTGGTCATGGGGGTCTCGTTCCCACCAGACCTCAGCTGGGCTGCTGGGGCTTGTGACTGGGCATGTGCTGACGTGCTCCGAGCCTCACTTCTCTGCACTCCAGCATCGCTCACAGCATGGTCACAGGCACCCTCCCTCTTCAGCACCCCATAAACGCAGGGTGCTGCAGTCCTGGGTATCATGCCAGTCACTCCCTGCACCACGCACCACCACAGGGGCAGAGGCAGCGGCTACTCTGTATTTCGCTCACAGAGGGGTTCCGAGAGGAGGAATGCAGATGATGGTTGCGGAGCACCTAGCAGGCCAGCACAGGAGCAGTTCTTGTTTGTGACAGATTTACACACCTCACTTCTAAGGCATGGCCTGCTTTTTAAATAACCATGATCTGCCTAAGGTTTCTCAGTCAGCAAATCATTCTTAGGCACCTCATCCGAGGCGAGCCTCACCATCGTCCCATTTTAGAGCTGAGAACACCGATGCGTGGTCGCTCCACAGCAAAGAGAGTCACTGGACCCTAGAACTCGTGGTCTTCCCAGGATTGTGAGCTCCATGGGCTCCCTGGAAATGGGGATAGGCTCCGTGTAAAATGCTGGGGCAGAGAATTCAGTTGAGAAAAAACTGAGCAGCGCCGGCTGGTCTTGCTATGGAGATCCTGGGGCAGTGCTCAGGCCTGGCCGGCGTGCAGAGGAGGAGGATTTAACGTGCGCGTCCGACACTCTCTCGACTGTCCCTCTGACCACCCAGAGGAGGCAGGCGCCATTTCCCCAGTTTGTAACCAAGACCACAGCGACAGCAAGAGGCCGAGCTGGTGCTGGAGCCCAGACCTGGCTCTCCACTGTTCCCCACCGCACAGCTCCCCTGAAGCCCACGTCGGCCAGTGGGTAGTTCTCAGAATTCCCTTTAGACCAAGGAGCCAAGGCAGGCAGGGGATTTCTTGGAAAGCATGATTCAGGGCAGGCTTGCTCCATCTGGGAAAATTCACGAATTGGAGACAGTGATAGTTCCACAGCTGAGGGAATTCACGCAGATGGGGTGCCAGCGAGACTGGGGAGGCTGATGTTGCCAGAAGGAATACCAGAGTAGCCACTGCCTCTGCCCCTGTAGTGGTGTGTGGTGCAGGGAGTGACTGGCATGACACCCAGGGCTGCACCACCCTGCGTTTATGGGGTGCTGAAGAGGGAGGGTGCCTGTGACCAGCTCTCCAAGGCTTAGAAGTCAGAGAGGCTGACCTGACTTGAATCACAGTTTGGTCACTTCCTGGCTGTGTGACCTTAGCCAGGGCCCTTACCCTCTCTGAGCCTTAGTTTCATCACCATGAAATGGGTTTAACAATACTCACCTGGTGTGGATGATGAGGCATGTACAGCGCCCAGCACAGTTCCTGGCCCGAGCAGATGCAGACATCCCCAAATACCTGCCAAACAGGCTACTAAGAGAACAATTTGGGAGCCCTAGAAGGTTTTAGAAGGTCTGTGCTTTCTGAGTCCCACAGTCCCCCGGGGCCCTGGAGACTGTTCGTTCCACATGCATTTGTGCAAGTATTTCCAGTAGACACCGTGACACACTGGGTGGGCACCTGCGAGACACAAGCTGTGGAACCCCTCGAGGGCCTCGAAGAGGACAGCCTGACGGGCACGCGTGTCAGCAGCCACTGGCCCAGCCACACTTCCCAGGCCAGCTAGCTGCAGAGGCTCTGAACGGATGTGCAGCTGTTGGCTCAGGGGGTTGGGGACAAGGGGCTGGCCGTCCCTTCAGCCTCATAGCCTAGCACCTGTGGCTGGAGTTCAGCTGTTACCAAAGGATTTGGGTTTTCTTTTTAAAAAGAAGAAAAAGGCAGAAAAAAGCCATGCTGGTGTCCCATGGCCAAGGGTAGTGGGTCGAGCTGCCAGGGAGAGGCAGGTTGCGGCTGGCCGGCCCGGGTGGGAAGCACTTTATAAGCGCTGTATTTATTATTTCTTGCTCACCATTAAAATCAAATGTACTCGGTGCTTTTGTATTCAATACACATTTAACCCTGCCGACTTAGATTTCTCAGGTTTTAAATCCAGTGGGGAATTGGCTGGCTTCCCAACGTTCCCCTCCAGGCCCCCTTGAACAGAGCTGGAATCCCTGTTTAGCATTTTCTCCCCTGGCACTGCTGAGCTCCCAACACCGACAGGCCCAGTCGCTGTTGTGTGTGCGCCTGTGCTTTTTCCCTCCCACCTCCACCCTTCCTAAGGCCCCGGAAAGATGGATGTGATCGCTGAGATATGACGGGAGTTGCCCGCGTCTTGTGGTTCAGGCTTAATTAAACCATTTTGTCTGTGTGTGTCCTTGCCTGGTTGTGGCCTGCCACCGTGTGTGTGTGTGTGTGTGTGTGTGTGTGTGTGTGTGTGTGTATGTGAGAGAGAGAGAGAGAGAGACTCATACATGGCCGTCCCCTCTTGCATGCCCCTGGGAATGTGCATGTGTGAGACCGTGTGCACACTGGAATCTTGAAGCCTTGGTGTGTCTCTGGATGGCTGTGGGTATAATTCCGTGCCTGGCTTTGTCCACACCAATCAGGTGTGTGTAACACCGGGTGTGTCTAACAGGCGGGTGACTCTGTGGTGCCTCTCTCTCCCTCCCCCGCCCCGCCCCCTCTCCCGCTCTGTCTGTTTTATCATCCCTAATGAAGCAGTCTCCTCCATCGATCCTGCTGATTGCCAACCCATTCCTTTTGTTTGTTGGCGCTGAGCCATTCAGCGGCACTCTGACAGCTCAGCTCGTCTAATTAGCTCTGTTGTTCTTTTTCCCCATGTTTCCCCACGTTGCAAGTTCGGTTGAAGTTGCCACAAACTTAATCCCCCCATTTCAGCCACAAGTTCACATTCTTAACCCGCCTTTATTGTAGCAAGGAGCAGCCCTGTGCAAGAACGAACTGACAGGCCTTAATGTCTGCCCTCTCCTGAAAGCGCAGCCCCAGGGCCTCCCAGGGCAGGGGCAGAACTGCTCCTTCACCCCAAAGGGCCTCACCTTTGTGATGAAAAGTCTGCAGGGGCAGCATTGGCCCAGCCAGGTGGGAGAGGAGCCTGGCTCTGGCTGGAGCCAGGGCAGCGTTAGAATGGGTGGTGGATGTATCTGTTGGTTATTCAGCAAATGTTGACCGAATGTCTTCTGTGTGGCGGGCGGATTCTAATAACAGTGATAATAATAACAACATTATTATGCATTTCTCAGATTCCAAGCAGCAACATGCATTTGTTTTAAAATCCTTGCTGAGTGGACTATAGAAAGCAGGCACAGTGCGAGATGCTAGGCAAGGAGGTGATCCCAGAATCACCTTCCACTTCAGGAACACTGTGCCCCGCCCCTTCCTTTTGTTGATAAGGGGACATCCAGGTCACGCAGAACCTGGGTGTGCATTTATGGAGCCCCCATTGTGCACCGACCCCTCACAATAACCCCACGGAAGAAGACAGTGAGTTTGGGGGAATGCATTTGGCTTGTACCACATCTCTGATTTGCCAGACAAGGCTGAGCCCAGACCGGCCACCCCACAGGAGAAACTGGTTAGATCAGACGTGTGCAGACTGAGGCTCCATAAGACTATAAAGACATTTCTTTTATGCAGACAACTACTGAATCTGGTGTGCTGTGTCTCCCACAAATTGCTGGGCAGTAGGGTGGGGGCGATCCGGGAAAGGGCAGGCAGGAAACAGACATGCCTGCCTCTCCTCTGTCCTGTGTGTGGAACTCCGCCGTCATGGTATGTCTGCTGCAGGGAGCAGGTCACCTGCACCAGGGTGCGCGCTCGCTTTTCCTGACTATGAAGTGCACAGAAAGTCACCGCTTAGCTCTCTCCCGTCCCTCTCTGACTCTGAGAATGTTCAGAGATGATGCCGAATTTAAAACCATGTAACGTTGATTGGACCAAATGAGTGTCCTTCTAAGAATACCCCAAAATTCTCAGCCTAACTCCCATCACGGGCTGTGGTGGGGAGGGGTGTCTTTTTCTAGGTCCTTGTCGATAGGAGGACCTTGTCTTGGCTTTTAGAAGCGGTGGGTCAGAAAAACCCATCTTGTCACTGCAGTGTCAGTGGTGGGATCAGGACGCTGTAAACCTCCTGATCCGCCAGGTCTACGTGGTGAGTCTGGCCCGCGAGGGGTACCACATCAGTCTGGGCGCTCCTGGGAGCACTGGCAAGGGTGTCTTGGAAGCAAAGATGGTCTGCATTGGAGCTCGGTAGCACTGCTGTTTTCTGTTTTCCCCCCTCCCTTTAGGGAACCATAATTCAGTTCCAAGAGCAAAATAAGCATGTGTACCCTAAAAGCAAGTCTGAGTGAAACCTTTTTGTTCTAGAAAGCCAGTTTCTGGGTTCCACAGGAAGACGAGCAGGAATTTATCACTGATAAGGGCCTCTGTGCTCGAGGTCCTGTGTAGACACCACCTCACGCCCTCAGTGCGGCCCAGTGAGGAGCTGGTAGAACTAGCCCCATCTTGCGGGCTAGGAAACCAGGCTCTTTAGGAGAACCCTCTGCCAGGAGTGGGCCTGGAGCTCAGCTAATAGGTCTGCTCGTTGCACGGCAGCTGGGGATGTCTCTTTTGCAGCCTGTCCCTTGAAAATCCTTGAGCCTCCTTGGGGCTCTAAGCCCAGTCTTCGGTGTTCCTGCCTGGCCTTTCTGACTCACTCCTTGGGGGTCTCCCCTGTGCCTGTTCCAGGTGCGCCCGCCCCGTCCGCACGTCGTCAAGAGGCCGAAGAGCAACATCTCAGTGGAGGGCCGGAGGACGTCCATCTCAAGCCCTGAGCAGTGAGTACCCGCTCTGCGTGATCCTCCATCTGCAAGAACCCAATAATATTTGGAAGCCACATGTGCAGCCCCAACCCCCGAGGGGCTTCCCTGGGGCCCCGAGGAGGGGTTTCACACAGCTGTTGGGGAGCGGAGCTTGATCCCCTATATGAGTTTCTGCTGCTTCCGGTCCTCACCCCAGTAGAAGGCCCCAGGGACTGGGCACCAGGGCAAGGTTTTGTGTGGTGGCCCGAAGGGTACTGGGAAGGCTCAGAAGAAGGTGTTAAACCGCAGAAGGTGCAGGGTCAACACGTGAGGTTAGAACCTGCTCCCGCAGGCCAGCTGCTTCCTTCCTAGGCCCGGTGTTGCTCCAGTCTCTGTGGCTCAAATTCTCCACACCGTCCTTACCCGCTGCCCCCAGGACCCACTGCTCGCCTGGGCCAGGCACTTATGACCCTGTGGCTTTTCTCATCTGCCTCGCTCAGACCTAGAGCTGCCCAGCACTGGTGTTGCACCCAGCCCCTAGCTCAGGTGGCCTAGAGGCACTTGCTGCTAGCTGTGGGACAGACAGCGAATGAGGAGGCAGGCAGCGAGCAGTGGCCTTTGTCCCCTTTGTCCCTGGGGCACACAGCCCTCATCCCTGCCTAGGTAGCTCAGAAGCTGCACCTCCGCTTCCTGTGGATGCCTTGGAAAGTACATTAATTCACCCCTTTCTGGGATCGTTGGGGAAATCAGGAAATTAACCTAGGGACCCTGAAGTTCTTTGGATGCAAAGGGAAATGCCACTCATGTTTGGCCTGCTTTCAGAAAATTCCTCGGGGAAGCAAGGGAGGTGACAGCTCCTAGCCAGAATTGGAGCCAAAAGGAAGAAATGACAAAAGTGTCAAGCTGTAGCCTAACCAGGCTGCAGGACACTTCGGCTCTCCAGGATTCTCAGCTTTATGATATGGGTCCTGCTGGGTACTGCCGTCTTTACGGTGCCAGCCTCCTGGGCAGCCTCAGACTGTGTGTGCACGTGTGGGCATGCACACGAGGGGTGTGTGCGTGTGTGAGGGCGTGCGTGCCCAGTATTGAGAAATTTGGAAGACAGGACTCCTGAAGTTGGACATAGGTTTAACTTTTGCTCTGCACAATAGGAAGGTGGGCCTGGGTGGTAGGGGGTGAGTGGAACCAGTGACTGGCGTGGATTATGATTGCCCCCTGGTGGAGAGAATGCTGCATGGCGTCAGAGTGCCTCAGACCTTCAAGATTCTCAATGGGGATGAAATTATTGATGGTTGCATTTCTTTAGTCACCGCTTTAACACAGAGCTAAACCTTTTAGATACTGCAGTGAATGGCCGAGCGGTGGGACTGTGGATATCAAAATATAAACCCAGAATACCCTTGCATTGCACAGATATATCCCAGCCTAATTGCACTCCAAATGGGAAAACATTTCCCATTTTGTGAGATCCCCAACCAGAGGTCAGACTTCCTAATCACATCCCTGGCGCCGTTGCCTCTCCAGACCAGTGGTGGGAGTGACTTCAGCATGTGCCATGTCTGACAGGCCCATCTTGCTGGTTTTCACTTGAACTATGTCAGTGTCTTTCGTTTCCTTTGCGATGTGCCCTTTGCAGATTTCTATTTAGGAAATGTTTGGAATTGGAATGAGCTGGTAAGAGCTTGGGGCTGTTTGGTGGGCCAGCAGTGCTGGAAAACAATGGCTGGTTTTCTGGGACCTATGTCGCAGAGGCCATGGCCCATGAGGGACAGAGGTTCATTTGGGACGTCATTCCAAGGGTTTCTCTTCACATTTTTTTAATGAGGCAGAGGGAGGCTGTTCTCCCACAATGCCAATGACACTTCCAGTGCACCCTGGGTGTTTTTCTGTATCTCATCTCCTTCCCATGCCCCCCTCCCTGCGCCATTGTGCTCCTCCACTTCCAAATGCCATGTCACAACAGCGCTTGGATGTGTTTTTCTCAACTGTCATCAGCTCCAGCTGGCAAGACCAACTTCTTGAAACACAGGAAGCATCCAGCGGAAAATATTTTAATAAAACAGACTCCTCATAAAATATTGTTCTGGAGGGGAAAAGGAACCAGCTCCACCAATCTGTCGGCATTGTGTTTGGAGATGGGGGAAGGCAGAGCGGCAAGCAGGAACCAGATCCTAACGGGCTTTGCTAGGGGTGGTTCTGTGTTGGGCACATGGACTCAGTGCCTGGATTTTCTTGAGTCATGGATCTTGGCTCCTGCTGGGAATACCAATATGCGTCAGAAACTTAGAGGATTTGGGTGGCAGAAAGGGATGCAGGATGTTGGAGTCGAGGGGAGAGATTCAGTCCTCCCCTTCAGACTCCTTGTCCCACTTCTCACGTCCAGCAGCATATTAAATAATTAACTTGGTGGATACAAGACAGAGCCAATTAAATACAAGACCATCTCTGCACCAGCCAAGCATTTGGGAGCAATGGAGGTCCAGTAGCACCAGTGTCTGCTCACTGCCAGCCCACCGCCGAAGTTCACGTCTTCCGTCTCAGCTGTTGTCATTCATCCATGCCTCTGTCCATTCATGCATCCATTCATTCAGCAGGGATCTTTGCAAACCTACTAGGTGCACACTACAGAGGACTTTAATGGAGTTCCTGCACCAGCGCATGATGGGGAAACGCAAGAATGTTGACTTGCATTTCCCCCAATGAAATTTCCTCATCTCAGATTTTCTTCCTGAACCTAGGCTAGGTTTCCTAGTCCATTTGCTGGAAGTCAGAAGAACACTTCAGGGCCAGCTGGTGGAATGGTGGTTAAGGCTAGGTCCCACATGGCCAACTGCATGGTTCAAGTCCTGGACCTGGTGGCTTGAAAAATCACACTGGGCACTGGTGCGTGCGTGCCCAAAATCCCAAGAGGAGAATGAGGATTGCTACATGGCCATCCTCCCCAGGGGTGGTTTCTCACTTTCTCCTTTCTATTTCTCTCTCTCTCTCTCTCTTCAGTGAGCATACACATCCTATAACAAAACTGATAAAACAAACCAACCAACCTCAGGAGGACTTGGCAAGGGAGCTAGATGGTGGCCAGGCTGTGATGTAGTGCTCTGTGAAGGCACCCCACGTGGGAGGGTTCTGGGTTTGCATCTGAAGACCTCCCTGAGCATGCCGGGAACATGGGGCTGGGTCACAGCATGAGGACCCAGCTGGGGATGTCTCCTCTCCCTCGGGAGGAAGGAGGAGAGAGAGAGAGAGAAAGAGAGAGAGAGAGAAAGAAAGCTAGTTAGCTAGTTAGTTAGTTAAAAGAAAACAAAAGGCTTCCTAGGAAGACATTCCGTGTGTTTTCCTGATATGTTAGTTACTTAGCATTCAGCTAAGATTTCTTCCTTGGCTACTCCTATTACTATTCAGAGCAGCACTGGCAAACACCAGGGGGTGCCCCAGGGTAAGGGTAGGGTTGGGGGGAGCTGGCAAGAGAGGCCAGTTGGCAGGAGGCACGGTTGAGCCCTGTTATCTTCGAGGCCCTCTGGGGTTAGTGTAGTCCCGCCCAGAGTACACCTTCAGGCTCAGAACCCATGTCTTTGTCCAGTGTTCCCAAGGTGACTCAGTTAGAGACAGGGCAGCATCCAAACTCTGCTTGGCTTCATCCTCTCCATTCTCTCTATTGCTCTCCTTGGGGTGGGGCCCTTAGGGTCCATTTTCAGTCTGGCTTCACCCAGAGAGACAGATCTGTGTCCTAAGATGACCGGTCCCACATGTCACCTTCCTGCTCATTCTCGGGAGGCTGCAACTAGGAATGAAAGCCATCCAGTACCCTTACTGGCAAAGAAGCAGTGTCCTCTGGTACATGGGTGTTTCTGCTCAGAGAAGGAAAGAGAATGAGCATTTTCTGAATGTTCTTAAGATTATGAAAGGTGGGTGGCAGTGTTACCCATTTAACAGGTAGAGAAGTGACAGGCCTAGAAAATGGTGGGACCAGCTGTCTGATGACAGAGGCCTGGTCCTTCTGTGTCAGTTAGGAACCCAGTTATGCTAGGTGCCTCTCGGCATGGTGGGCATAAAGGCCACTGTGACAGGCATAGCGAGGGCCGCAGCTCCCTACCTGTCGAAGGTGGGCATAGCTGCCAGGCCCAAGTTGTCTTCCTTTGGGCTTTCCAGGCTCAGAGGAATTTCCCAGCCACTTTATGCCTACAAAGAGCCAATAGTAGGATCCCAACAGTGGCACAGCGATTTCATGACACTGTGTGGCTGACTCGCATGGCAAAGTTCTGGATTCTTGTCCAGAGACCTTCCTGCTACACTGGGAAGGTGCATACCCATGAACAAGGTCTGACCAAAGCTGGAGATAAATTGTGGCGTCAGGACCCTGTTGGGGATGTTTTTGCTCTGTGCCTCATTCATGGAATGAATCAATTTTGAAAAGAAAGAAGGAATGGAAACAGAAGAGTCAATAGCAGACTGTGCGAGGCCACGCTGAGCCATGCTGCCGCTGCCCTCAGGACCGCATGCTGTAGACCAGCGCTGAGACAGCATGGCCACGCCAGTCCTGGGGGCCTCTCTCCACCAGGCAGCTCCTGGTTTGTTCCCTGCGTGGAGGTGGCAGTAGGGGCCAGGGCAAGAGCTCTCACAGAGTTTCTGAGAGGAAGCTCCTCTACCACCTGTTTAATCTGCACAACCCAGATGCCGGGCTGTCGTCTGAGTCTTACGGTTAAGGGGCTTGCAGTCAGTGGAGCATCTGAGAGGCACCCAGTCCCAACCACCAGCAGAGCCCAGCTTTTTTGACTGCTACCTTGTCTCCTGATGGGTGAGACACAACACCCTCCAGTCACAGGAGGATCCTGGCCCTTGCATCTGTTTATAAAATTATCCAGATCGAGCCACCTGAGGTCCAGAAGCTGTTTCCCTGCTCACCTCCCTGGTCAGAACCAAGCAGATCTGCTTTTTGAAGTAATTTTGTTGTGCGTAACTGATTCAGTAGCCTTATAGACAATCTTGAGTTAGAGGAAAGAAACAAGTTCATTCTGAACCCCAGCACTGTAACCCAG